TTTAAATTCCGTTCAAGCTGCGCTTGCTCTACAACATATATTGTGTTAAAAATCCCCCCCCCAAAAAAAAACTACATAGAATACAGAATTTAAAAAAAATTACGAATAATAATTTTATTAACTTTCAGTATAAAAAAAAGAAAGCAAAAAAAAAAAATTTAATTTCTTTGAATTACTATCGTGTTTTATAAGGAACGTATAGAGCTGAGAAGAAACATAATGATATAGAACTCAAAGAATGTTGATACGACTCAGAACTAAGTTTATATATAGTTAAACGAAATGAGTATATGACATTTCTTGAAATTGACATTCTGAAATAATACTCTTGTATCTATATTCTTTGTATAAATATACAGTGAGAGCATATTTATACATACCTATACGATTGTTAGAACTCAATGTGCTTATCACTTATCACTTGTTCGGTGTAATTTCATTTTCGCGTGCATTCAAATCTAGTACCACAGGCACTAATCGGACGCTACATAACAGAGCATTTCAATTATCTCACTAGCAATTATATCTGACCCGGGTCAGCACGTTACTTCCATTTCCAGATTGCGCTTTGCTTTTTCTAATTAAGGGCAAAACGTGCATTTCTGAAATTGTTGGGTAACATCACAATTTCCACCTATGAGAGCAAATATTTTTCTCTCAATAAGTGTTTTTATATATATAGATATATTATTATAAAAAATACTATCTCATGAATTCACTGTTTTTTTATTTTTGTCAAATTTCATAGCCGAAGAAATAATTTTTTTCTTAAAACCTGATCCCAAAAGTTATAATCAAGATATTTTTATAATTACATTTCATTAAGATCGCTCACCCATAATAAAATTAAAAATTTTTAATTTACCAATAATTAATAAAAAAAAAAATTGTAAATAATTTTTAAATTATGAAATTTTTATTTATTTTTTATAAAAAAAAATGTTCAATGAAATTTTAAGTAATTTTATAAAAATGTAATGCAGCATTTAGAAAACTAAATTTTAGAAATCTTAAATTGAGTTCTTAAAACTTAAAATTTTTTAATAACAATTTAATCTAATTTTCTTTTTAATTTTAAAAATCTGTACAATTTATCATTATTAAATTTTATTAAAAAAAAGACAACCTCAGGTGAGCTACCTTAAAAACTGTCATTAATTTTAGTAAAAATAATAATTGTACCATTATTTATTTATTTTTTTTTTTTGAAAAAACCTTCATTTAACATTCGCTCTAGTTGAAAATTTGTGCTTTTGTAACTGTTACGAATGGTGGCTGTTATCCATGTTGTTCACATCTCCGTAAAAGCAAGCGCCTGAAATTCATTGGAAACTCAATGCTTAATTGGACTCGATACCCGCGGTCAATTAATTTTATTTCACACTCGTTTCTTTCTACCTCTAGTAAAAAAAAATGTTACTTTTCTCGAAAACTGACAACTATATTGTCAGTTAATAAAAGTTTAAAAAAAAAAAATTAAATTGATTTTAATTTGTAATATTAATTAAATCAACAATCCTAATAAAGTTTTTTTATTTTAAATTAAAAACTGTTAATGAAACTAAATGAATTTTCTATTGAGTTAAATTAAATCTATCAAAAAAAACGTACCTCTACACATCAATTTCCCGCCAGCGACACTTACAGAAATACGTTCAATTCCCGATGATTTTGTCTCATAGAGTCTGCTTCATTTATTTCATCGGTTTAATTTCTTTCTTCCGAACATTATTGTTCTATCTGTGAAAAAAAAAGAATTAGAAAATAATTTTATTCCTCAGTAGAACATTTTCTAAACACACATTTTAATTATATACAAACAAAATTAAAAATTAATTGTCATAAGTGTAAATTATCAGAAATGTTAGATTCGTAATTTTCATATTAATTATTAAAATAATTAGATATTTGAAACCTTCAATTAACTAACAGCCAAAGATTAATATGTAGCTAGATAAACTATCTATTAATTACAATTCGCAAATCAATTAAAAGCTACTGTTAAAAAATTTACACAGAAATAACATTTTCTGCTGTAATAGAAAACTTCAAGTAATGATAATAATTTTTCATTTAAAACTGTTTGAAAAATGAAAATTAAACCAAAAGAAAAGTAAATTCAATCAAAGAGAAATTTTGTGAATAATTTTTATTGACGAAATTCTAACAAAAAAAAATTGAAGTAAATTCAAATTTATAGAATTCGATAAAAAAAGAATCAAAATCCCAAAGAAATAAATGCAAGTAAATCAAAGCTTTAGAAACATCTATACGTATACTACTTTCAATCTACGATTTTATTTTGTTCAATACAATCATTTATTCAACTTCGAAGGGATTGGATGCTAAAGTGCATTGACGTAAAAATGTACACAACGAAGTAGTGCATGCTTTCCTTACATATTACGATATAAAAGAGAGCATGTATGTTAATGTCAGAACCATGTAGAACATTTGTCTTCTGAGCGGTTGAATTTCTTCGTGAAATGAGAAACCGATTGCTTCTGGATGCAGAGCTGACTTAAACTAAAGACTTCGATCGAGTTCAAGTGCGCCAAATTATTTCTCCTTTTTTTCTACCTATACAACAAAACAAAATCCACTACATGTCACAGCAAACACCTTCCAAAATCATCTTTTCATGAACCATGAGAAAAAAAAAATGATCTGTTATTTCCTGGACGAAAATATTATATGTCATCCTGTAGAAACAGAAAAGCTATTAATCATTGAGGAAACTTAATCTAGTATAAAAAAAAAAAAATCCTTTCGAATTTCCTAAGTTTTTTTTCAGATATTCAAACCTTTTTCTTGTTGGAAAATTACAATTTGCCGGCTGAAGAATAATTATGCAACAAGCTTTACAAGTTTTAATGCAAGGGATTTGCTACTTTAAATTCAAAATAATTAATCAGTGCTTGACATAATATATTTCTGTTATAAGTTCTAGAGAGATGGTTATAACTTGGAAAGTTACAGTTTCGCCAAGACACCCGCCGCAGTCGTAATAAATAAATCACTTCTTAAATCCTCAGAACTAATGCGCTGAGATTATTTTTAAATTATCTCTGAATAATATCGATTTTATATGAGAAGGCAAATTTATTATTCTAAAGAATTATTATTTAACATTTTCAAATAAAAAAAAAAAAAAAAATTAAAGGAAAGAATAAAATTTTAAATAATAGACGAAATTAATAAATATAGAATTTTCAAGAAAAAAGAAAACTTAAATTTTTAGTAAGAAACTTTTTAAAAGCAGTGGATACAAACGCTACCTTTAAATCTAATACTCGACGATCGCTGAAGAGACAAGGAGACTGGAGACGTCGACTAATTAGTCGTCGCCCAAGGGAATACTTGGTCGACAAGTAGACAGAACGAATTTTCAGCGACTTAACTTTCAAGACCATGTTAAGAAAGGTAAAAAATCACGATATCTCATATGCTTCACAATTTCTTAAATTTTGATTAAACATTTGTGTATTTAAATCTTTTTTCACAACGCTTCGAATTATATTTAAAAGTTAGAATTTTAAAAATATAATTATGCTAATTAATTTAGTCTATTTTGTTCATTTTTTACTCTTTCCTTTATATAAAGTTCAATAATATGCAACAAACATAATTAATTAATTTATTCAAGATGTTATTTGTTTTTGGTAAAAATCCACATTTTATTTTTAAGAATTATGCAAATCCAAAAAAACTAACATCTATACTAATTAATTTATTGTTATATAATTCTAATTAGTATAAAATATAAATAATAATTACACGGAGAAAATCTGAAAGCACTGAGTATTTTTTCTCACATCACTGGCTACTGTGGAAACCAAAAAATTAAATTCCAAAACTCTGAATGTTTTCTGCACAGCACTCAATGCTTTGTAGAAAATAATCACTATTTTTTTGACAGTTATTAGAATTTCGGTTTATATTAACAACAGTATTTTCAAAGCTAGGAATATAGCAATAAATTCTTCGCTCGATGTCGTGACTGCTTTTCTCACAGCTCTGAGTACTGTGTAGAATTATTTTTTAGGATTAAAAAAATAAAAGAACATTTAACCTTTAATAAAAAATAAATAACAATTTTAAACAACCGTTCAAGACAATTTTAATCAATTTTAGATGTTTTCTTATATTTTTATGAAAAACAGATTATTTGACTAAAATTATTTATATTTAATTAAATAAGAAGTGATAAACTTTAATAATATTAAACAAATTACTTTTTATTAATAAACGTAAGAAATAATAATTTTTTTTTATTTCACGAGATAAATATTTAAAATAATAATGTTGAAACTTAATATTTTTTAATCATAAGTATCTATAAATTTAGATTAGGTTGTAATTTCATATTAGTTAAGAAATATTAAAATCTAAAAACTTGTGAAATACAGATAAATATTTAAAATTTATCTATAATAATTCATTTTAAAAATAATTATTTATTATTTCATTATTGTATAATAACTTTATTTGCTATATAACTGAAAAATTAAAAAAAAGCGATAGTTTTTAAAAAGACTTTTTGAAGTCTTCATTTCTTTATTTCTGTTATTCATTAACTGTTATAAACATGTCAATTAAAATCAATATTTGAAAAGAAAAAATAACCATGGCTATCTTCTTTTTAATTGACGTTAAACGTTCCTTTGTTTTTTAAATTCTAAAAAATAATTCTACACAGTACTCAGAGCTGTGAGAAAAACAGTCACGACTTCGAGCAAAGAATTTATTGCTATACCTTTGTAGTTCTGAATAATCTGTTGTCAACTAATATGATACGAAACTCTGTTTACTGTCAAAAACAGTTGTGATTATTTTCTGCAGAGCATTCAGTGCTGTGTGGAGAAAATTCAGAGTTTTGAAATTTAATTTTTTGGTTTACACAGTAGCCAGTGCTATGAGAAAAAATACTCATTGCTTTCAGATTTTCTCCATGTAGGATAATATTCGAAAAAAAACATTTAAAAAATAAAAACTAATAATTAACATCAATATATACATTTATTGAATAAAGTGTATACTATATATTTGTAAAAAACGATATTTACATTATAAGCTACGAATTAAAAAAAGAAAATTATTCACAATACTGATATTATATAATATCTAAGTTTTTCTTCTTTTTTTTCATTTTCATTGGAATTGGTCCAGGCATCTTAAAAACGGTACTGCAAAAATATAGTTAAACGTTATTTTAATTTTCCTTAAAAGTAATTAACTGTTTAGCAAGTTTATAATTTAATTAAATGTAATTGTAAAATAATAATTAGTTAAATTAAAATCGAAAGGATATATCAAAGTTCAACTTACTGACAAGTGGTACAGATTGGACTGAATTTGCAGAAAACTGAAAAAAAAGTTATTGACAGTTTTATATTAAATGTTTTCGCGTGAAAAATGTGACATAAATCTAGAAATGATAAATGTTCTTACTTGAAAGACATACAGAGCAAACGTAACCAATATCGACAAGTTCCTGGTGGCAAAAGCAAGCTGCTCGATAGTCTACTTTGACAGGAGGTGGAAGGACAAGTTTCGACCGAATATCTGGATCCGGAAGAAAGACCCACTGCATCATTAAGAAAATTCTTCTTATTCCAATTGTCAAATTTCTGACTTTCTTGTTTTATATTTAAAAACTAAAAAATTTAATCTTCACAAAAAAATTTGAAAAAAAAAATTATTTATATGTAGAAACCAAAATTTTGATATTTTAACATTTCATCTTCTTAAATACAAAATTTCGAAAAATATTTTAACCATCATACTTAACTTTTATTAATAAAAAAAATATTATTTTCTCCTACATTCTTCACGAGTATAATTTTAAATTTGGAAAAATTAATAAACCAGGGTGTCCATTAAAATTTATGGTTTTGAAAAAAATTTCAAGATTTTCTAAAATGAAGTGTTTATTACAAAAAAATAAATAAATTCAAATGAATAATAAAAAGTAATATTTTGTTATGTTATTATTAAAAAAATGAATTAAAAATTCAAGATTTAAAAAAATCAAAGTGTAATTATGGTTTTTTTCAAGACAACAAAATTTATGTGATTTTCTCGATTTTCAAAATTTTAATATTGGATGGCCACCCTGATAAATGTACAACCGTTGAAAAAAAAAATTATAAAAATAAAACTCCAATTAAAAGCTTTGTAACTTTTTTAAAAAAAAGCAATTAATCAATTTCCGTTGTAATTTTTTGTACTTTCTTTTGTGCAAATTGCATAGGCATTTCACTTTGACTAAAACTACAAACGTTTAACGATCCTTAATTAAAATTGAAGCATTTGAATTTCTAGAAGCCAGAATTAGAAAAATTTAATTCTCCACTTAAACATTATTATGTATCTTTAAAATACATTGATTATTATAAAATGACATTTTAAATTACTTAGATTTATTTTCATATTAATATTTCATTAAAATTGGAAAATGGAAATTTTACAGAAAAAAAATAAATAAACATAACTTTTATATGAAACAAATAGAAAATTCCTTTTTTGAACAGTTAAAACTCAACTAATTTCAATTTAACATTACATTCTTTAAATTTGAAAACTTTGAAAATTTGTTTATAATGAAATAATGAAAATATTAATCATGATAATACTATTCCTTTCAGGCAAATTTTATGAAAGCATCTTCAAACAACGTTCAGTCGCTGTTGTTATAAAGTTTAATATAGAAAGTTTTGCGTGGCCACATCAAAGATCTGTGTTAGCAGGTAACCAGGGAATATTCAAAGTTTTATTCAGAAAAAGTCGACAGATAATATGAAAACACATGAACAACCGAAATATAGACAAAAATGAAAAGTTCGACATATTTCAAAGGATTGAAAATTTCCGAGAACTTTATGGTCACACAACTGACAAACAAATATTGAAACATCAAACATAAAAGTATATCGACAAATGCTGTATGAAATTCTCCATTTTTTTTTCGTTCATGTTCTTTTCTATTTAAGTAAAATTGAACCGCGACAATATTAAATAGAGCAAAAGAGAAATAAACGATCCAAAAATAAAAGGGTAATAAATGTAAATATAGTTTTTGTTACAAAAGAAGAAAAAAAGATTTCATCGCTGAATATACAAACGTCATAAAACCTTTACTGTTATTTTTTATGATATTCAACTCATATAAAACAAAAGTAAAAATGAATATATTGGTAAAACGTTAGCAAATAAAAAAAAAAAGCCCCAATGACATTGACGATTTTTTTTAAGTTATATAAAAGTTAGTTTAAAATTAATATATATAAATTTAAAAATATATTTACCAATAAATACTGCAGCAAACCAGGTAATTGGGGAATTTTTAAATAATTTCCACCAGTTAAATCGCAGCCCTGTTGTAATAAAGTTAACTCATGATCCAAACTACAGACGTCTAGTATCACTCCCTAAAAAATTACCAATTAAAACCAAATATAATTATTTATAATTAATACCCTATTAAAAATTCTAAGTTTATTCCAAAATAAATATCAGAATTGAGGGGCTGATAGTAAAAATGATTTAAAATAACATTGGGAGCAAAAGTGGGATAAGTGACTTGGGAGCAAAAACGGGTTAAAACGATTCGTTTAATTTATTGATAAATTCATTATATTATCGATTAAAAAATATTAACAATAGGAAAAAATGCATATTTTATTATAATTAATATTTTTTAATCGATAATATAATGAATTTATCAATAAATTACACGAATCATTTTAACCCGTTTTTGCTCCCAAGTCACTTATCCCACTTTTGCTCCCAATGTTATTTTAAACCATTTTTACTATCAGCCCCTCAATTTCAGTTGAAAAAAAATCAATAAATTTAAATATACATTAATGATACAAACCATTTTTTGAGCTGTGAAAAATATATTCATATAATTCATATATTGTCCTGCAGAATCATGACTAGCTGTGATTACAAGTACACGTGAATTAAGTTTCTCGCCGGCAACTTTCTCTCTCTCCAACCTGGAGATATAACAAAGTGACATAGAGAGAGCTCCAGATATTAAACTCTCGAAATTTGAATATCCATCCGAAGGCATATCGTTTATCATTTGCTGCAATCGTTGCCGTATTGTTCGTTCGACCAAAGTAAATAGCTCATACTGCCCATCAATTTGTCTCACCTCAGATCGTTTTTCATCTGGATAGAGAAATTCTGCTCCATTTCCATGACATGCCATTACAGCAAGAAGATTGTTGGGAGTTTGCATGAGATGAGCATTCGCAAAGACAATCGCAGAATCTAAACATTGTGTGATAACTTGTTTAACGATTCTTTGTACTGGGCTCACATCAAGTACTAAAATCAATAGATTTTTATCCACAGCTGTAAAATAAAGTAATTCTTAATTAGATCAAAACTTTATTTAATTAATTACTAATGATATTTTAAAATAACTTTTGTTTTTTAATCTTTTATTTCAATATTTATATAATTGTTATTCTATTTTATGAAACCAAATATTTTTGTAAAATTATATTTTTTATTTAATTGAACATAATAGTTATAGTGAATAAAATGAAAAATAAATTATATGATAAATATGCGATAAACTAATAACATTCGTCATTATATGGCAATAATAAAAATTCTTGACAATTGTGAAACGGAAGTTGAAAACAATATACATCAGTATTTAAAATAAAAAATTGAAAATTCCTTGTCAAAATTATTTAATAAGTTCAAAAATCGTTTATTTATAATAAATATAATATTTAACTGAAAAATTATTTAAAAAATTTTATAGGTTATGTTTAACTGCTTCAAGATTTCCATTAAAGTTTCAATTAATTTTTCAATATAAACCATATTTTATACTTTATTAAGTTAAAAAAATAATAAACTTACTATTTTCCATAGTCTTTTTTATTACAATAACACTTAAATTCTATCAATTTATCAAAAAATTTGTTGCATAGCGGCGGGGATTTAAACAAATCTAAACAGAAACTAATCCGTCAGGTGTCTCTAGTTGAGCGTCAACATTAATTTAAAAATCCAATTCAAACAATTGAAAATCGTAAAAACCTACCAATTAATGTATAAACAAATTATTGACGTAAAATGAAATTTATCACATTCATTGCAATAATTTTAGTGATCTATATGATTTATAAAGAGTATCAGAGAAGTAATTGATGAACTTATTTGCAAGTTCATAACCTCCAAAACAAACCCAAGCTTATATAGAAGTCGGAAAAAAAGGCGCGATATGTCGCTCATACCGTTGTGTACTGTTGTATATGTCACTTATTAAACAACATTTATTTTTATATTATTTTTCTATTTTCTGTAGTATTTTATTAATCATAATCGACTTACAATTCAGAGACATCTGAGGATTTCTTCAAAATTTGGTAAGAGTCAATATTTTCATGAAAAACATTGTCAAAAATTTAGCAATCAAATTTAGGTTATAATATTATTTCTTCAAATCTAACATATAATTAACAAATATTATTAATATTATAAGTCGATTGATTTTATAATTTAAACAATGTTTTCTGTCTTGCAAGTTTTTCATATAATTGAAATCTGTTTTTATAAATCTAGGTTTGGAGAATTACCTTTACGTTATCTGACCAACATTGTCAAAGTTTGTAATATTATAAAGCATGTCTGCTGAAGTTAAAACCGACATTAAAAACGTTCCATCTCCAGAACCAATGGATGATGAAAACGATGCGCTATTCGATGAAATTTGTGCAAATATTATAAATGAATGTAAAAAAGAAAACGTAGAAACAATTGCATGTATAAAAGAGGAGACGGTCGAAGAATGCGTTATCAAAAAGGAAAATTTGGATAAAACAAAAGAATTGAGGTATTGTCAAGAAGATATTAAACGAAAATTCAACGATGATAACAATTTGGATTCAGAAAAAAAGACTAAACATCATAACACAAAAAGAGAAGATATTGGACTATGGTATGATGATGAGGATGATGAGGAATATGAATCTATGCCCAAAAGAATTCGCGAAAGTCACATTAATGGTTCAGAAGAACAGCAACAAAGACTTAGAAATAATAGTGCATCAAGTAGTAGTACAACTTCTTCTGGTCCTAATGTCAAGAAGCAAGTTGAATATGAAACTGATCCTTCTGTGCTGTCTCGCAGACAAAAAGATATTGATTACGGAAAAAATACTATTGGCTACGATAGATATGTTCAACAGATTCCCAAGTAAGCTAAATAAATTTTACCTTATTAAATAAAAAAAAAATCGGACAAGTGCAAGTTACACTCGCACTAAAATCGAGGATTCCGTACTCGAAGCGAACTTATTTGGTATAAAAACAAATGTTTAAAAAATATGTGTTGTATGACAAATAATATAAGTGATACGAAGAGGAACAATTTTCTTAAATTTTACTAAATTGTTCCTTTTTGTATCACTTATTTTATTTGACATACAACACATATTTTTTAAACATTTGTTTTTATGACAAATAAGTTCGCTTCGAGTACGGAATCGTCGATTTCAGTGCGAGTGTAACTCGCACTTGCCCAATTTTTTTTTTATTTTAGAGTTGTAACGACTGAAGAAATAAACTCAAGGAAAAATTCCACTTTTTCCACTTCTTATCATTATTTCTATAATTTACACATAAAAATACGTGAAAATAATAAATTTAAAGCCCTTTAGATAAAATTTTTTTCGTTATTGGGAGAAAATTCATGATTTTTTCTAAAATTATCAGTTTTTTCTTGACAGCACCTAAAAATTCAACTCCAATCATCTTCGCTATATTTTTTGTGTTATATACACGTAAAAATACGTCAAAATGTATAAATTTGAATTACTTGATATAAACTTTTTTCGTTTTTTGAGGAAAAATATATTTTTTCCTTAAAATTATCATTTTTCTTTAAAAATTTGATAAAAATTGATTATCAACTCCAATCGTGCTTACATTTTTTCCCTATAATTTTCACGCAAAAATAAATTTATACAGCAAATATGAACAGTCTAGGTTGAATATTGTGTGCGCTAGGGAGATTAAACCATTTTTTTTCGAAATTTTTGATTTTTCCTTTACAACGCTATGTAAATTGATCATTTTTAGGTATTTTTTGTAAAAATTCATGGTTTTTCCTTGACAACGTTATGATAATCAATTCCAATCAGGTTCGCTATATTTTTCCTGTAATCTACACGCGAAAATACATATGTGTACCAAATTTCAGCCCTCCAGATAAATTCGTGTGGCCGCTAGGGGGGGGGGGGGGGGTTACACGATTTCAAAAAAACCGATATTAATAGGATTCTGAACCAAGTACGGAACCCTAAAAAAAACCAATGACATGTTTTTAGAGTAGTAAAATAGTTTAATTTAAATTTGATTGATTTTGGATATAATATATTATGAGCTAACCTTAAATTTGAAACTTTTTTGCAGAGATAAACGTATTAAAGAACATCCAAGGACACCTCCAATGCATCTAAAATACACTAGAAGGGGCTGGGATGGTATGGTAAAATTATGGAGAAAAAAACTTCACATTTGGGATCCACCACAAGATAACTCTGAGAATAAACATTCTGATGAAACAAGCGAGGAAAATGGTGTTGCTTGTCAGTGATACTAGTTATTCGGTGAATATTGTAATTTTAAGTTTGTTTTCACAATGTGATTTATAGTTGATATTGCATATAAACGCAAAATTTTAATACCTTCGATACGCCAAATGTGTAAGATTTGTATTAAATAGCTTTAAGAGACTAAAAATAATTTTCTAAAGCGGGATATAATACACTTTCATACATTTATGAAAAAAGTTTATTTTTTTTATTTTAAATTAATATCACCTTTATTTTTTTTCATTTTCCAATATAAATTTGAATATCCAATGTTCTTTTTTTCATTTAACTATTTATACATAAACACACATTCACGTAAATTCCGACTAAAAACTTTTGGAAATTTTATAATAATCTCATTTATGAATTAAATTTCAGTTCATTTCGTTATTAAATAAAAGTATTATGATTAATTCAATCTTTTTTTTTCTAAAATGTTGATAATTTGATCTAATTTTTGATTAGTCTTTTGCTCCACTTGGTCTATTTTGTCCATTACTTTTTTCTCCATATCTACAAATTTTTTATCTATATAAGCTTTAATATCGAGGGCATTATTTTCATTTGGATCAGTAACACGTTCAAAAGAACTTGTTTCGGATTTTTGTTTATCTTTTTCTTTAGTGACGATTCTTTGCTTATGTGGTATAAAACCAAGTCCTATAAATTTTGTTAAATAAGAATCAATATCTTCATTTGATGAATTCGATTCTCGGCCATTGAGAGATTGAAATACTTTATTTGCCATTTCAACGCTTTTTGACTTAGATTTATTAAAATTTAGAAGAAAATCATTTATTATTTGAGGATTAAACATTTTAGTTTCCTCTTTTGAGAGTTGGTCCGTTAATGTAAGCCTTACGCCATAAAGCCACATTAATGAAGTTTTATCCTTCACTTTTGTAAACTAAATAAAAAAAATATTTTTAATAAATAATTGTTTTATTCTTAAAAATTACTAATAAAATTATAATTAAAAATTACCTGAATACTGGCTTCGGACGTGGGTGGATCAAAATCCATTTCTCCCAAATAAACCGAATTATTTTCAAACTCATCAACAAATTCGGCAAAAATAGTTGCTGCATATTCTCCAGATTGTTTGAAAAATTCTAAAACAGGTGCTTCCGAAACTAAAGATATATTGGATATTTTCTGACCATTTGTTATTTTAATATCAAACAAACAGGGCTCATTATCCAATTTTTTTAAATTACAAAGTCCAAGACATGTGTCTAATGAAACAATTTCATCCAAGTTTGGTCTATAAAATAAAAGACAATAAATTATTTAATACTAGCAAAATTAAACGCACGCAAGCGCGCCAAATTGTGTATGTAATTGTTTGTTATAAAGAAATTAAAATTAATATTATCAATAATAATTTAAATTTATTAGAATATTATTACATATTAAATGATAATAATGAAAATTATATGTTTATATAATTAATATTTAATAGAATTGAAACGAAGCTGAAGTACACAACGTTTATCAACAAAAACATTTTTTTAAAAAAGTTAAATATTACGTCTAAATTACATGAGCCAAAAGTTCTAAACGTTCAAATGAACGAAATATTTTTTTTAATCTATAAATTATTAAAAATTATGATGGCAATGTAAAATAAAACAGTAAATTAAACAATTATTAAATTAATAAATTCTTCTTTAAATATTCAAAACAATATTTTGTAATAAAATTCTTATTAAAGTAGTTGCAAAAAAATTTTCGTTCATTTGAACGTTCAAAATTTTTGGCTCATTAAATTACATATATTTAACATAGGCGGAATATTTATCTGAAAAATACTTTAAATATTCCGCCTACAATAAATACATATATGTAATTTAGGCTTAATATACAACTTTAAAAAAATTTTGTTGATAAACGTTGTGCACTTCAGCTTCGTGAATTGGATTTTTGAATTTGGAATTTTAAAGAAACTAATTTCGAAATTTGGAAACACAATAAATTATACAACTTTGGCAAAAATGAGAAAAAGAATTGTCAAAATTTGACACGTTATAACATTACAATTCAAAAAAAAAACGTGAAATCAGTAAAGATCAACTTCAAGTTAAGACAAAAGGACAGACCAAGCATTTTATTATTATATATATAAAATATAATTAACAAATAGAAGTATACAACAATTGTTAAATATGTGTATTATGTTAATTATATAAATTAAAAATGAAAATATTTTTACAATTATTGGCAAGAATATTTTTACCTTTTGGCAATTTTGGAACGAGGAGCGATAGAAATGGCATCAAAAAATGTTTTTCCATTATTTATCTCCCAATTTGAAGATATTTCACAAATTTCATTAACTTTTCTTCGTGTATTAATATCTAAAGAATCACTGGTACTATTACTGTCATGACGCTCACTTATTACATCCATTATCATAGTTATTTGTCATAAAACGTGTTTATTGTTAATGTTTCATAAAAATTAATAAAAACAAATTCACTTTTTATGAATTCTGTCACAAACATATTAAAAAAAAATAACAGTGATCTGTCAAAATATCATTGTTTCAATACTGGAAGGTTAGGTTTACCCAATACCCCATGTGCTGTAAAATTTAAGGCAGTGCACATGATAATGCTAGAAAAACAATTTCTGATTGGTCACTGACAATAAAATCATCCACAATTTCAACTCTTATTGGTGAAATACAATGATTTTTAAAAATGGCGTCTACGTTGCACACATTCAAAATAACTATGTATTGTCATAATGGTAAAGAAGACGGGTTCTTTTTCCAAATTTTAAATAAACTACATACGTAAAATTTCATACAGAAATGATATCATACAAAAATGTATTTTACAATTTACTCATTTTTTTCAAAAAAGAATATTCTGGAAAGAAATTATTGAATCAACTTTGGTTTAGGGGCGATGGCAAAATTATCGACCGAAGCGCTTCACTTGTCACTCGTGAGTTTGTGCGAGACTGTAGTGACATAACGTGCTTTTATTCTACAATAAATAAAATGTCGAAATACAGAATTGTTATGGTTCGCCATGGCGAAAGTGAGTGGAATCAATTGAATTTGTTTTGTGGATGGTACGATGCAGGTTTATCCGAAAAAGGTATGTTAATTTATCTATATTTTATGTAATAATCAAACTATTTGTCTATATCTCATTCAAGGTCAAAAGGTCATAATGGTATAATTTTTCTAATTTTCATATTTAAATAGAAAAAAATTAATTTGATTTTAAATCTTTTTGTAAATAATATTTAAAATCAAATCTTTGAGTCAATTTATTTATCATTATTTAATTCATAATTAAAAATTAAACTTCATTTATTTTATCATCAAGGAAAGAACGAAGCTGCTGCAGCAGGAAAAGCATTAAAGGATGCTGGATATAAATTCGATTGTGCTCATACTTCCGTGCTAACACGAGCACAAGTGACACTACAATCTATTCTCAAGGAAATTGGCCAGGAAGGTATTCCAATTCATAAAACTTGGCGCTTGAATGAACGTCACTACGGAGGTTTAACGGGAATGAATAAAGCAGAAACTGCAGCAAAATATGGTGAAGAGCAAGTACAAATTTGGAGGAGATCTTTTGATACTCCACCACCACCAATGGAACCTGATCACAAATACTACGACAATATTGTCAAGGATCCTAGATATGCTAACGGACCAAAACCCGAGGAATTTCCCAAGTTTGAATCCCTTAAATTAACAATTGAAAGAACTTTGCCTTATTGGAACGATACCATTATTCCACAACTTAAGGAAGGAAAGCAAATTATCATTGCGGCTCATGGAAACAGTTTACGAGGCATTGTCAAGCATCTTGATCGTAAGTAATCTACTTTCTTTGTTTATTTTTTTAAAAAATTATAAATTAATTTCATTCAATAAAAATTTCATGAGAACAATAATTTCTTTCAATTTTCAGAAATGAGCAACGACCAAATTATGGGATTAAATCTTCCAACTGGTATTCCATTTGTTTATGAACTAGACGAAAATTTTAAACCCGTTGTTTCAATGAAATTCCTTGGAGATGAAGAGACTGTAAAAGCCGCCATTGCAGCAGTTGCTGCGCAAGGAAAAGCTAAATAAAAATTTATTTCAAAATTAACGTATTTGTAAAAAAGAAATACCACTTTTATCATCGAGTGATTCACTTAGCAGAATTTATGTATTTTTAATTTATAATATTTAATTTATACATTGTAAAAACTAAAAGTAAAAATATTGTTTTTCATTGTCTATCCTTTGAAATTAATGTTAAAATTTACTTTCTTCAATTCTTTAAATTGTTCTGATAATGTATATATATAATGTAAACTTGTAAAATCGAAATGTTACAAATTAAAAACATATTAAATGTTCATTATACAAAATGTCGTTATAAAAAAGTGGAATGACAAATAAAAAATTACTTTAAATGAAAATTAAATTTATTTCATTTTAAAAATTAAATGTAAATAAATAAAATTTTATTTAAAATTTAAGTACCTATATATCCTTATTTAAAATTTCAAAAAATAAAATTTAAGTTTAAAACTACTACAATAATAAATATATATATATATGTTTGTCATGAAAGATTTAAATTTGTTGTCGGATAGAAACACGTGACGTGATCACGTGATCCAATGTTTTTGTATAAAGAAAGAATTGCATTCCATGAGTTGTTGGATCATGATTGCATTGTATAAGATACATTGAGAATATTATATTCAATAAGAAGGATGGTGTTTATTATTCGACACATTTTATAAATTTTTGAAAAATAATTTAAATATACCCAATTGTTTATCAACTATAATCAAGTGGATTTTCAACTTTTCTGATATGCTCTATAAATTGCAATTACATACATCGATCTTTAAGGTTATGTAAAAAAAGAAGAAAAATAATTATTTTCAAAGTGTCCCTTTCCCTTATTGTCACTGACCTTATTAAAAATGGCTAGCGTGGATTTTAAAGTTGTTCTTCTTGGAGACAGAGCCGTTGGAAAAACATGTTTAATAAAACGTTTTGTAAATGATACATTTAACGAAGACGTAGTAAGTGCTGTAAGTATATGTCTCATGTATTTTAGACCTTATGAACTCTATAGTTATAAAGGTAAATGTTTCACGAAACATTAAAAGACAAAGAAAGTGACATGAAAAAATAATTTTTTTTTTCTAGACAATTGGCGTAGCATTTGCAGCTAAACAAATTCAAGTTGATGATCGGAAGGTAACAATGGGTTTATGGGACACTTCAGGCTGTGAAAGGTAAATGTAATTTGCAATTTAAATTTCTTATTATTTACATTAAGTATACAATTTATTATATTATATTATTTAATATATTATAAGTATTGTATTGAAAATTTCATTTTCAGATTTGAATCAATGGTTAGAGGTTATTATCGAGGTGCAAAAGCAGCGATAATTTGTTATGATATTAGTAATTTAGAGTCATTTAAAAGGGCAAAATTTTGGATAAGAGAAGTTCGTGAGGTCGAAGATAAATGTAAAGTGTATTTATGTGCCACAAAAGAAGATGTATTAAAAAATGTGAGTGCATCTCCTGATTTAGAAATAGTCGAAAGATATGCAGAAGGTATTCAATCAAAATTTTTCATCACTTCAAGTAAAACTGGAAGCAATATTGGTGAGTTAATATTTAATTTATAATATATATTATAATAATTTTGTTAAGTGGCGAATTTACTTTTCTTATCGTTTACGATTTTATTTCTTCAAAATTAGCTGAATTATTCGAGGAAATTGCTAAAGATTATATCGCAAATCCAGAGAATGCTCAAAAAGAAGAAGACAAATTTATTACTCTAACGGAAACGCCAATTTCTCAGAGATTTTGTTATTGTTAATCATGGCATGGCTACTCGATATTAATTTTTTAAAAAAGATTCTTTTTTATTTTCAAATCGGTGAAATATTTTAAAGGCAATTTTTAATTAAGACGATAGTTTTAATTCAAAGATTTTAAATTCGAGTGGCCACTTTTATGTAATTATATAAATAAGACGATCGCATTGAGAACTGATGACTCATAGAATAATACTTACCTTTGACTGAATCGAGCTAAACTTATTCGTAGAAAGATAACGAAACTGTGAAATAAAATGATTCCGCCATATATTTCTTAAGGATTTATCCAATTCACAATATATGTATAGAAACATTTGTTAATTACTTTATATTTATACACGAAGAAAGTATTTTTCAAACAGTATATTTTATTCAATAAAAGGCTATGACATTTAATTCACTTTTTTTTAATACCCTCAGTTTTACTTATCAATGCGTTTACAAATTTTTAAAAGAATTTCAGTTAATTTAATACTGATCGACAATTGTAATTAAATATAATAAATATTTGATTAATTTACTATAAATAATCAAATATTGATAGCATATTTTTTTAATGTATTTAAATAATCAAACATTTATAAAGATAATTTATTTAATTTTATCAATTTTATTAGTTTTAAAAATTAAATTTATATGTTCAATTTTTTTAGGGAACTTTAATTATTTACACTTTCATTAAATAAATAAAAATGGAAATTGACGGTATTGAGACTTTGACAACAAAAACCGCGAAATCAGTTTTAAATAACGAAAATTACAAAAAAGTAGAGAATTCACGTCATAAATTAGAGAAATAGATAAGGTATATTATATTTACCGTAAGTGGAGAAATACGATACATATGGATATAAATAATAATAAATATCGAGATTCATCGATCGTAGAAAATATGAATGTTTTATACAAATCACAGTCTGAATTTCCTTAAAAATTGATGGAACCACAAAATCACCCGTAGAGGAATTTATAACAAATATATTTGGAACATACAATCTTAACTGAAAATTTCATTTTATTACAAGTAGTATAACAATATAATAAATAAAAGTTTTTATACAACAATAGTTTACTTACATATAAATTTTTTAGTTTTGTAGTCCGATTTTTTTTTTTATAAAAATGCAAATTTCATTCACTAGAAGAAGAAAATTAAGCGATTATGACAAATATTTACAATCGTTCTTAAATTCCTCATTTATTTTCAATACTATATATAAAATTTTCATTGAGACGATGTGGTGTATGGAAATACTGTTTGACAGCTTTGTTTAACTTGTTCATACATTCCAAAAAACAAAATAGCTCCAACAGTGTAACCACATACTCTCGGAACAAATCCCGCAAACAAACTGGAAACAAATAATAAAAGATGAAAATAATTTAAAATTACAAATTTTCATTTAGAAAAAAAATATTTTTTTTTTGTTAATATTTAAAAAAAGGTCTATTATTACCTAATAGAAAAAAATTATTATTATTATTATTATTATTATTATTATTATTTTGTTTACCCTCTAACTCCATTTTCTCGATAAATTTGTCGAAACATGTTTGCAATTTTGACTTCGGCTTTATCGGCATTTGTGCTAGCCAACATAATTCTCGTTTTTGCGACGTCTAAAGGTGTTGTAATCGTCGAAGAAATAGCGACTAAAAATATTAACAAGTCATTTAACAACAAGATATATATTTAAAATATGTAGTTCACCTTAGGCAGTCATTGACAAATAATTTATCACGTTGATGATAAAATGAAATATATTCATATATATTATGCAATTATTGAATTTTTCTATTATTATTGTATTTTTAAAATTAGTTTTCAATGAATTAGAATTTGTTTAGTTACATTAAAAAATTGTTAATTTATTTATTAGCTTTAATTTAAATTGCATTTTTTTTTTTTTTTTTTAACGAAAAAGTTAAGAATACTATTTTTGAATTAGTATTACCGGAGACTGCTCCACAAATAGCACCTTCGAAAGGCGTGCATTCTCGTTTCATATATTGCTTATAGCGTAGCTTAAAATACTCCCATAAAGGCATTTGTGTAAAAACAAATGGCACATCACGAAGAACTGTTGTACCATATCCTCGATAAAGAGTTTTCAAACCTAAGGAACTTATTTTATCACCCAATAAAGCTTGTTTTCTTTGCTTAATTACTTCAACAGGTACTCTAATTAAACAGGCACCCTGCAATTTAATGAAAAGTTACTACACTATAAAATAATTTAGTTTAAATCATAGACTAATTATTCGATAATAATTAATAAATTCAACATTTCATTCAGTTATTTCATGTTTAGTATTTCTTTTTAGTTTCATTTTTTAATTTTAAAAAATTGTATGTACATTAAAATAAAATAAGACTAGAATATTTTATTACCATTTCACCTGTGGTTGCAGCTCCCATATGCACCATCCAGTGATACTTATAGGGAACATTTGGTTGTATAAATTCTTTCATGCTTTCATAAGTTATAAAGAAAATTGAAGCTGAAAATAAATTTAATAATTATAATTTTTGTGAATTATTTTCTAGAGAAAACTTGAATTTTTTGTTATTGCATATTTTACATGATGGTGCAGTTCCTATCATAACAGGTACAATGCCCTGATAAAGACGTGTAAATCCCCCTGATTTCATAAAGCCATGAGGACTTTGTAATCTAGTTTTTAAAGTATCTACTGGAAAAAATACTAAGTCGCATATCGTTCCTGCAAATGCTCCAGACTGGAATTGAAAAAATTGAAATTTTATTAGTCTTATCTTATTCTCTATAGGTACACACGTGTAAATTAATGTAACCTTCAGCTTTATCAATGGTAATTAAAAAAAACTACAATATATATTTTCCTTTAAATAATTTTATAAATAAATTTAAATAATTCTAATCAGTTGTTTTTCATTTTATAAAATGTCATGCAAAAAAAAAACTGACTTATCATCCTGTTAAAATTTATAAATAACTCTATTGATAAGAAAATAAATTATAATTACGAAAAATGGTAATAATTATTCTACTTTGTGATAATTATTCACGAAATTAGTATATAATGTATATAATTATAATTTATCCTAACCTAAAAATTATATTAAAAGCTTTTTTAATACTTACAATCATAGAAGTCAGAAAAATATTTCTGGTATGATATTCATTAAAAGATTCTATATTTTCTTGAAGCATTGTTATTAATTTTTATAATTTATAAAATCCTTTTACTATACTTTTGAATCCTTATTTGAATGTGACTATAAATTTTTGAATAAATTTAAACTCACAAAGCATTGACACAAAAGAAAATTAATGTCACAACATAGTTAAAAAGAGTAAAAACATATTAGACGGCATATATTTTTTGAAGAATCAATGTTCACTATTATTAATAACGAAGAAAATAATTGTTAATCGTAAGAAAACTCGAAAAATGAAACTCACGTGCTACACATTGTATAATAAGTTTGAGAGCTAACCTAACCCGCTGCCCGGTTGACGTGTCGTCTGCTTTTATCTTCTGCTACACCGCCATTTTTGTCACCGTTATCATTTCAAAACATCAAGGAAAATATATTTCTGTCATGCGTATTTCGGGAAATATATTTCCCCCCTCTTCAAGATTTTTCCGAACATGAAAAGCGGAAAGTCGTAAAATTATTTTGTAAACTTTTACAAAATTCATTAACAACGTGGTAGTGGTTACGTGAAGTTATATTATAACTCATGACATTATCATCATTGTTGCACGAGATTCCTGTCAATTTTTAATCATTTTGGGCCACATCATGAAAGAGTACTGGTTCGAACAATATTGTAAATACTTTTCATTACCTACTAAAAAAGTGACAACATCGGAATATGATATCATTGCTTTAAAAGTCGGCGTAATTCTTATATAACCTCAAAATTATTTTGACATTAGTCTGTCGTAAATTCTCGTTAAATATTTATTTATAATCAACAATGGCACCAAATATTTTAAAAAGTAGCTTGCAAAATGCATCTTTCAGTATCATTTTTCAGGTAGGTATCTCCTAGTTATTTAACGACTTTTATTATTTTTGTTTATTTACACTTTTTTTTGTAATAATATACTTTAAATTAATTATAAGTTATTATATTATTATTTTAATCGCAATTTATGATTTTCTCAATTTTTCAGATTTTATGTCGAGGCGTTACATTCCTGTTAAACGCTTTTACAGTACGACATGTAGGTCAAGATGTATTGGGTGTTATGAATGTTCGATTATTATTATTGGAATCAATGATTCTTTCTTTATGCAAAGAACCATTTTTTAAAGCATGTCTAACAAATACAGCAGAGCACAACTGGGCTCAAGTTGTAAATATTCTTTGGCTAACGTAAGTTTTCTATGTAATTTTATTATTTTTAAGTATCTAATATATTTTAAGATACTGATATTTAAAAAAGAAAATAAATTTTCGGTTATTATTTTAAAAAATATAATTAAAAACAAGGAGGGGGTCCTTTATGTTTATTTCATAAACATTTTGCTTCCTCGTGGAGTAAAGCTATGAATTTCTCCGATTTAATTGATTGATTTAAAAAATTTCGAGTTGAAAACTGTTTTAAATTAATTAAATTTTTTTAAAAATTAAGAAAATTATCATTCATTTTGGGTGTAACATATACTTTATATATACGAATCGATTCATTTCAATGCAAGGAATACAATTATTTTATGTATTATCTTGAATTTAAAAAAACACAAAATTTTTTAGTTAAAATATAAATTTTCGATTTTTCAATTTTTATTAATTCTTAAAATTTAAATAAAATTCATACTTTATATATATCAACCAATTCGTTTCAATAACGAAGGGAATAAAATTATTACATGTTTTAAATATCTAAAAAGAAGTTATTAATTTAATATTTGTTTAATTTACTGTTTTATTTTACATTGACATTATAATTTCTACTAATTTATAGATTGCAAAAAATATTTTGTTCATTTGAACGTTCAAAACTTTTGGCTCATAAAATGTGAAGTTTTGATTTTTTAACTTTCATTAATTCTTTAAATTTCAATCAAATCTATACTTTATATATACCAATTGATTCGTATTGACGTAAGGAAGACGATTATATTATATATTACTTTACATTTTTCTATTTAAAAAATTTTTCAATTAAAAAAAAAATTTTGGAAAAAAGACGATAAATTTTTTTTTTTTTGGGGTATTTTTAAAAATCCTCTCGTCATTTTTGAGAGATATATGTGTTAAATAAGCCTACCAAATTTTACCCAAATGCATTAAAACCTGTTTAATATATTGTGTTCAAAAAAATGATCCACACACACACATACATCCGGACAATTGATCAGGATCTCATATAACATGTTTCTATATAGAGGAAAATTTGTTTTCACCATTTCTAAAAATTTTATAAACGAAAGGACTACAAAGCTTTCTCCACGAAGAAGCAAAATTATATAATATCAAAAAATGATCAATTACAATACAGAAGAATTACATGAAATTAATTTAAGGGTGCCAATTTGTGGTATGGCTTCTGCAATTCTTGGATATATTTGGCTTTCGCTTCTATCAACTGTCGAAGAATTGCCACCGTATTACACATTTGCAGTGTGGGCAGTAGCAATATCCTGTATTATTGAATTATCTTCTCTAGTAGTTCAATTAGTTTCCAGTGCATTTTTATTCGTCAGATTGAAGGTATTTTGTTTTATAATTTTGATTTTTTTTTTACTAAATATTTTTATGTGCATAAATTTTTTTTATCATTTTATGAAAATATTCAGATTGTTCTGGACTCTATTATGATTGCGCTTCGAACATTGACGTTCGTTTGTTTTATAATTTATAATCCAGAAAATGCTTTGCTTGCATTTGGAGTGGCCCAATTAATGGCAGCAGTATTTTATACCGCGAGTCATTATATTTACTTCCACTATTATATTAAAACTTTGAAAAAGGATAAAAGTAAATTGAAGAGACGAATGTCTATAAATGAAAATGAGGAATATATTTTGTCGGATTTTCCATTTAAAACGATAAAGGATTTTTTACCAGGACAACTGAGAAACAATGTATGTATTTTAAATGAAAATTATATTTAAATTTATTTAGATAAAGAAAATTTTTTAAATCTATTTTATTTTATTTTAATTATTTTTACAGGAATCTTCATTGTTTGGCAAATTGGGTGCATTGACGAGAAGTTTTTTTGGACAGGGTAGTTTAAAGTTAATATTAACCGAGGGTGAAAGACTGATTATGACAATCATGCCTGTATTGACATTCAAAGAGCAAGGAGCATATGAGTTAGTTAATAATTTAGGCTCCTTAGCAGCTAGATTCATTTTCCGTCCTATTGAAGATAGTGGATATTTTTATTTTACTCAAATGGTTCAACGAGATAAAACTTTAAACGAACAAAATCCTGTAAGTGTACAGTAACTAAAAAAATATTTTACTTTTATATTCAATATGCATCACAAAAGTAAATATAATCGAGTAACATTTATATTTTTTCCAGGCAAAAGTACAAGAAAGTGTGAATGTATTGATGAATCTCTGTTCGGCAGTTACTTCAATTGGTTTAATAGTTTTAGTTTTTGGCCAATCATACTCTTCATTATTGTTATGGTTGTATGGTGGTTCAAAATTAATAAACGAACCTTTACCTGTATTTTTATTGAAAACTCATTGTTTGGCTGTTTTATTATTAGGCATCAATGGAGTTACAGAATGTTATACAAACGCTACTGCTGACAGTAAAACTATCAATAAGAATAATATTGTCATGATTTGTGAGTCTATTGTTTTTCTTGTGGCCTCATACATATTTGTTATATTATTTGGACCAGTAGGATTTATATTTGGAAATTGTGTTAATATGGGACTTAGAATTATACATTCTATTTTATTTATTAACAAAAGACATCGAGATACTAATCATCGTCCACTTCGTGGTCTTATTCTGAAACCAGTGTTTAGTGGCTCTTTATTATTTGCAGCCCTAATCACCAACATTTCTCAAGTGAGTAAATTTTTCAAAATTTTCATAATATTCTCAAACTTTTAGTTAAATATATTAAATATTTCTTACTTATTGTAATTGTGAAACTAAATAGATTTTATTAATAAATTAATTTTTCTTTCTAGGCGTATTTCTTTCCAGACTCTAAACTATTCCATTTTTTTATTGGAGGAGTAATGTTTTTAATAGTGATTTTATCCTGGGCATATGAGCATCAAGATTTAATTCGACTGGGCATTAGTAAATGGTACGATAGACGAAACAGTCGTAGGAAGAATGAATGACCTTAAATGTCATTTTTATAAATTAATTATTGTATCACAAAATTTTACATCATTACATCTGTATATTTGACAAATAATATATATTTATTTTATATAAATACCAAATTTCACAACTTATTTACCTTAATCTCTTAATTTTAGCTAAACTACTCTATCCGATCATGTATAAAAAAATTTTCACACAAATAATATATATATATATATATATTTTTTTTTGTTATAATTGAATTGACTTCAGCTTGAGATAGTTTTGTATATCGCCCCAACAACTGGTCCTTCACGTTGTATTATACATTGTCTACAAAAATTAATTTTCAATAAATAATAAAACTTCAAAGATTAATTATTATTTAATATCAATAATAATAATTAATTCAACATTAAATATTTATGACAATGACAATTACCTGTTTTCACTTTGTAAAGAAACAATAGGAGCCGAAGAATTTGGTTCCAATTTTGAGGCTTGATCGGCAATTGCTGCTACTATTCCAGCACTATCTGTTGTTGCATTGCCTTTTACTGAAAAATTTTTGGAAAAAAATTTTATTATTCCATTTATTGTATATGCTATTGTTCATATAGGTAAAAAATTGTAAATTTCTTTATACAAAATATCACCTAACCTGTCGAGATAAAAACTGTAAATGTTTATTTATGTCTAATAAAGAGAATACTTGCCTCCTAAACACAATCCAGCATAATCTGTTAAAATAACACCTGTGACACCTTCATTGCTACACCTGAAAAGAAAAATTTGTTTAATAAATCGCACATAAACATAACCTCAAAATTTGACACTTTCTTACACATCATCCATTGCTTTTTCAATGTTCCTTTCCATGATTTAAATTATTCCCTTAAGTTTACGATAGTTAAATAATATGAAAAACATATATAAGAAAAATTCAATGAATTAAATAATCTGTTGAGAAATATGTATTATCGTTATTATAAAGCACAAACAAAAGTTATCAAGTTATCATTAGCACGTGACCTAGAACAACTACAGCTGCTCTGTGTAACACACCGCGAAACTTCCAAACGGAAAGTAAAGCGAAGTTCAAAATGTACAATGTTTGTCCAAAAATTTTAGCTTATAAAATTTGAATTTTGTTCCTTTCAAATTATCAACCGTAGGTTTCTTTCATCATTTAGATCCTTAAAAGGATCCACTTGCTTGAGTTAGGTAGGTTTATTTTATTAAATAAATAAGACACTGATTTTTAATTAGAAAATCAAAAATTTATTCAATTGAATCGAATTGAGTCTTGTTTAAATACGCTTTATTTAAACTTAGTTTAAATATTCTTAATTTATAATCCCTTTTGACAAATATTAATTATAAATTAAGTTTTAATTTGAACTTTACGAGTTTATTATTTCGCGAAATTCACGTTAATTTGCTCGCCAAAATCTCAGGTCCTTCCTTATAAAATTATGTTTTTATAGTCAATTTTCCACTCTTAATTTTAGTTCCTTTTCCCTTTCCATAAGAAATTTTCCCAATCATATTCCTATTTTCAAGTTGTTCAATCCCGCCCTCGCTAATTGATTGGTCTATTTTTTTAGAAGACCGTTGCAACCGTTCGTAACTGTCATAATTTTTTTATGTGGAACACCTGCACAAAATACGCATTTAAAATTGCGTATTTTGCTAAATTTATGATCTAAAATTAGTTTTACTTCATTTTTTACTTAGATAACCGTCATTTAACGACTTAACTTACGCATCAATTCTAACTTGTTTACTCTCTTTTCCCTTTTATGTATTGATTTCTTTAATTTAGTATTTTATTTTCTTTTCTCAAAATTTTCCAGGTTTACAAATTAAAATTGTTGCGTTTATTCAAATACATATATATATTTATGTATATCTTAATTATTTATATTAATTTTTCTTAATTTTCAAAGAACCTAAATTTAAGTTTAAATTTACCGCTTTTATTTTTAATTAATTAAGTTTCAATCAAGACTCAATTCTCTGCAGCAATAATTATTAGTACTCGTATTCACCTAGAACAATTTTCTAGCAAAAAGGGGAAACTGCAGAAAAACCCTTTTTGGAGTACCTTTCTATATTATGTAATTACTAACTTAATTAATTGTATATTTGTTTTGATTCAAAAATAAAATCTTCATATCAAAACAATCAAATAATTGTTTCTCTAATTTTATTTTTCAATCAATTTGCATTTATTCTTCCATTCTTTTTCTTATTATTAAAATAGTCGATCAATTCTCTATCAACTTCTTGCAATAAATCAAATCTAAATTTCATATTTAGAGCGCAAACTTATTATTTATTACAGCACTGAGTAACAGTGATCGGGGCGACTTAGTCAAAAACCTCGGGTCTGAACGTTAATGATCCGTCACTGTTACACTTCTCCCCTTACAAAAAAATTTGATCATATGATCGAATTTTTCATTTAGTAATTTTATTATTATTTCCTAACAGTTGATTCTTAATTCTCATTTTCTTTAAATTTAAAAATAGCGCCAATAATCATGGATGTGATTTCAACTCCATCTATGCACAAATTTTCGTTTATGAAGTTGCCCTTCTAGATCATATGTTTAACGTTTGATCTGTCAAAAGTATACACATATATATATGGACAGTGTTTACCTTTGTGTTTTCCTTTATTTATTGTGTTTTTCTGACATAACAGTTGTCAGATTTAGTGTCGTATTATTGTTTTTTAATTAAGTATATGGATTCTGATAATTGATTCTTTGGGTAAGTGTTTATTATTATTTATTTCTCTCATTATATTATTTTGTGGTTAGGTTATTTAATTTAAAATTTACTATAATAGTATTTGTTAATTTTCTCTCCCTTTATTATTAAAAGTTTCATTTTTTTATTTATTTATTCCCTCCTCCCTTTTTTTTTTATATTGTTTTATAATATTCAAAAAAAAATTCCTTTTTTTTTTTAAAGTTATTTTGTCTTCTGCTAGAAATTCCCCTCTTTTTTTTTTTAATGTTTCCTAACCTGAAATTCGTGGCAAAATTTAAATTTTGGTTAAATTTAATTAAATTAAAATTTTCTTTTTATTTTCAGATTTCAACGTTCCCATTCAATTCAAGGATTTAAATATTGGAAATTTGCAGAATTATAGGAAAGTATTCCTTAATATTTATTATTAAAATTGTTTTTTTTTTTTTTTTTTTTTTAAAAAAAATTTTTTGTTTGTTTTTTTTTTTTTATTCACTTATTTATTAATATAATACTCCTTTTATAATGAACAAATGATTTTTCCGCATCCTTTTTTTAGCTTGTTCACGGAAAGGATTTCAAGGATGTAAAAAAAAACGAAAAATCTAATTAATCGGAAAAATAGTGAGGCTGAAAAAAGGATTTTCCATCTTTCAATTCCAATTCATCGAGTTTTTCTTCTCCTTTTCTTTTCTTGAACTAATGGTAAGTAAAAAAAAAAAATATATATATTAATCAAAAGGTATTATTATTTTCCCCCTTTTTTTTTTTTTTTTTGTGTTTTTTTTTTTTTTTTTTTTAAATTAAAAATACCAAGGGGAAATTAAAACTCATTTATTTATGTAAAATATATGTATATATTATTTTTTTTTTTTTAAAGAAAATATCATTTTACATACATATATTATTATTATTAAAAAAATAGTTTTTTTTTTTTTTTTTTTTTTTTTATTCAAATGGTAAATAACACACGTGGGTTATTGGATGTTGGAATGATGTCCAATTTTTTACAAAAATTTCCCTGCATCTAATGCAATCTTCTCCATCCCCTTGTTGTGTTTTTATGGGATTCGCACAATTGAAACATGTGATATGTCTTGGGCTATCGAAAATTAATTCATTTGGGGCCATTTTGTGCCAATACCATAGCTTATATGGATTGGGAGGAACAGCAAATGGTCCCAATTCTGCCCCCCCCCTGATCCACTTTGTTTTTTATTGTTTAAATAATTTAAATGATTATTTATTATGAAAGCGCATTTGCTGCATACTCTTTTGTCTCCAGGGAACCTCGTAAAAAATGGTATTTCCATGTGGCAATAATTCTGGAAACGATTCCAAAATGGACTAGACCCTTTGGCATTTAATTTTAAATTCTTCGCCCTCTCCAGCTCCATCGCGTTCTCCAAATTATCGGGAATCTAACATACATATATATATATATATATTATGTATATTGAAACCCTCCCCCCTCAAAATTTAAAATATATATATTTTTTTTTTTTTTTTTATTCATATAAACATATATATTTAATTTTTTCATCATATGTATATATTTTTCTTTTTTTTTTTTTTTACCTGTATCAAGCTTATTCTCCTTATTCTATGCTCCATTTTAATTAGAAATAGACACGATTTTAACAAGTTTTCACGAAGATTTTCTTTTCACTAAATTTCTCCTTTTGGAAAAATGGCCGATTATTGATCGGTTCTATTTTTAAAATCACCCCATTATTGGGATCTACGCGTCAAAATCGGGTTCAAATCGGTCGATCGCGCAGTCACTTCCCCTTTTTAAAATTTTCGCGCCCCTGATTTAAATTCAAAATTTTTCTTTTTCAAAGAAAATATTTAATTTTATTTCCTTTATTCATATTAATCATATTATTATAACAAATATATATATATTATGCCATTTTTATTAACATCCCTTTACAATAAATGAATAATAAAAAATTTCTTTCCTCCCCTTTTTTTTTTTATGTATACTTAAATTTTATTGATTTTTTCCTTTTTTTTAGGTATGTGAAGGAGTATGAATGCAAATGCATTTATATATTCCTCTAACTTTTCTCAGTTTTTTTTTTTTTTTTTTTTTATTTTTTTTTTTTTTTTTTTTTTTGCAACAAATCAAGAGTTCAAGGGATTCATTGGAAAATGGTTGAAGTATTAAAACAAAATTGATTAATTTGTATTCTAATTTAATTATTATTTAATTTTAACAATTATTAAAATGTCATTTTCTTTTATTTTTAGAGGGAAAGATCTACGAAATCTCAACACCACGCTGCTAGGATTCATTTAATGAAGATTTGAAAAATTAAGGATTTTCTGAATTTCGACCTTCGAGGGATCATCATCTATCAAGGACTTCAATAAAAGACCCTCTTACAAGAGCGTCTCAAAAATCGACCGTCTCAAAAGGGACCGTCTAAACATTTCAGTTTTTTTTTTTTTATATATATTTTTTTTTATTTCCACCTCTTCATTCTTTCTCTCCTTTTTGTGTGTCTTTTCTTTTCTATAATCTTAGAAATGCGGATTTTACGCGATTTAAATGTACAATTTTGCTTTCACCCGGTTTAGTTTGTATTTCTAAATTATATTTATCTAAAACTTTAATTATTTTAAATGGGCCGGTATAGTGATCATCAAATTTACTAGTTCTATTTTCATTCGTTAAATAAACATATTCCCCTTTCTTAAAATCTTTTTCGTTTAATTTGGCATCATAATATTTTTTACATCTTTGTTTGGCAGCTAATAATTTAGTTATTACCATAGATTCTGTTTCGGATATTTTATTTAATAATTCGTTCACATAAAAATCGTAGGTCAATGGTATTTGTTTTTCAGCAAATTCTGATGGAATTCGTGCTCTTTTTCCAAATATCATTTCATGTGGGGTTACTTTTGTTGATTCATGAACAGATGTATTAAAAGAGAATATTGCTGATTGTAACCAGCAATCCCAATCGGATTTTTCGCAATAGTGTCGTAAATATTCAATAAAAGTATGGTGACTTCTTTCTAAGGCTCCTAAAGATTGTGGGTGGTAGGCGGTTGATTTAAATTGCTTAATTTTAAAAAGTTTAGCTATGGATCTCATAATATCACTCATAAATTGTGATCCTTGATCTGTGTGAATTGCTTCGGGGCAGCCAAACAGACAAATAAAACCATCAACAAATGCTACTGCTATTGTATTAGCGTTAATTGTTGATAATGGAATTGCCCCTGAATATTTACTAAGGCAATCTTGCCATGTAAGAATATATTTATTTCCCGC